ATCTAAAGACATTCACGATTAAAACTTGTGCTATTAACAACATTCCGTCGAACAGTGTGCCCGGCAATTTCGACGATTCGCCATATAAAAGTTGTCATAACTTAAGTGTACATGTTCCAATCTCAATGAAACTTCACATGTTTGATAAGAGTCCCGCCCTGAACACGTCTATGTGATAATATTCAGATATAATGATAGCGCCACCTACTGGCAACAGGACATAAGCGCGTCGTGGCAATGTTGATCTGATTTACGTAAAGTTTTAATGTTGTGGTACACGTTACGTGGCCGCAGCACACCCTGAGTTGTGTGGAGTGCCAGGGCCCGTTCATTGCTGCTTGCAACTTTAATTGTTGTTGTATTTATTTATTTTATTTTTAACTCCTATGTTAAAATTTTAATGAACATCTCTAATTAATGTACAGGCTGTCAGACCTCTGATTAAACAAGTTTCTGTTTTCTCAGTGAGTCATGATTGGGGCCAGAAGTCTCTCATCCGAATGCTGGCACACTATGAAGGTCATATGCACACAAATACACACACATGTTTCTGTGTGCGAGGATGAATCTGATTTGATGATAAACACTTAGAATACACATCCAATATGGTTCATATTTGTCTTGATATTCAAAACGTTTAATTCTTACAAAAAATATGGAGATTAACATACTTTAATGGATATAAAGTGCGTAAGAACTGGGCGTTGATGATAATTCATCTGATAGCAGGTTGCTGCTCTGTTCATATTTCAGTTTTTCAGGTTATTCTTGGCTGCCTCTCTCCCTACACAGTGTAATGCAGTATGAACATTACATAATTTACAAAAATAAAAACTTTCAGGTGAATGTCAAATGACTTAGCAAGATCCTGACGCATAGCTTGTACTAGAAATATTTTTCCAGGTAAAGAATACACACAGACACAGCTATTAGTCAGTGTATTGTTTAAGATTCTGCAGGTTTGACAGTATATCACAGTAAATTATTTCTATTTTATTTTCTTGCATGACTTTATATGGTTTTCTAATGGCTTATTCTACTGTCAGGAGTACATAGAATATAAAAGCATATAATGTCATCATTTAATGTCATCATGTACACGCTGAAGGCTTTGATTAATAAGGAATCAGAATGCATGAAACCGTTAAACTAAAGTTAAATTACTGTAGAAACATGGCAGACTCCATAGAAGGCGACCCCTGGCGTCTGTAGATATATACCATATATAAAACAGTGTCAGATTATACTTGTTCTTATTCTGGCTCATCAGCAGCTGAAGTGTGCATTAATTCATTTTAACCAGAAGGGGGAAGAAGAGGCTAATAAAAGAGCAGTAAAGTGTTGGAGTGATATTAGCCCAGGTGAGGCTCCATACAGCACCCTGTGAACTGCATGAACCAACACCCTTACTCTCTGTGTAGTTCAAAGCAGCACCAGCCCCCCTCTGTGGTAAATGCTTAATTTCAGCTCCTATGTACAAGCACACAACACAACACGTCCTCCTCTCCCTGGTGCCACAGTGTAATTCCTAGATTAAGGTTAACGAGCCTCCCCAACCTTATTGCTGTTATTATGGCTTGGCGGTGGAACAAAACAGCAGAGCTTTTTGGTGGTTGTGCTCTGCATGACTGCCAGACGTGCTGTGCCATTGCTGGGTATACAGGCTTACACTGTAAAAAATCTTTTCACGATACATCTTGTCGCTCGTGGTTTGGGTGTGGATTCAAAAGATTCCACAGCAAGTGAGTGAGATTTATCTCGGTCATGAATGGAAAGCTGCTTATGTGAGATGTGGTTTGGTTCAAAGTAGAGTATTGGATGTGTATAATTGTTTTCAAATATATTGTATACAGAAACAACTAATATTTTTTCATTATCATTACCTACTACTTCTCACAAATTCTAGGTGAGTGCTGGGCTTGTGTTTTTGAAACGTGATTAAAGCATACTTCCCAGCATGCTTTGTTTGAAGGATAAAATTCTCCGGAGACCATTTTCTTTTGTGGTTAGAAAAAACATACATCATGGAAACTTGCTATGTCACACATTAAAGGAACAGTTTGACATTTCAGAATATACACTTGTTTACTTTCTTGCTCCCAGCCTTTGTCCTAAGCTACATTAACTGGCTTCTGGCTGTAGCTTTGTATTTGCTATACAGGCACGAGAGTGGCTATTAAGGTTAGGTAGTAATGAAAGCAATGTGAACCATGATATAGATTAGTATCTACTTCAGTCCCTAACCCCCTTTCCTTTTAAATTAACGGAGCTGCCTGGAGCAGCCGTGTACAGTGACTCCAGCCATAAGGCAACTGTGACAACTGAAGAACCAGCTCATCAACTCAGAAGATATGACTGGTAGACAAATTTAACTGAAATAACAGATGTTTTGGCCACACAACACTGACATATTACCACCCTTTAAGTGAATGCAGCAAACAAGTTGTTCATCAAGCACATATGAATTACATGACCACCTGATAAGTCCAATATTCACTCCCTTTTAGCTCTGTGTTTGTTCTCCACCAGCTCCTGAGGGAAATATCTCTTTAGCTGCTAAATGCTCCAATATGTTCACCAGCTAGTCACTAACTTTTCCTGTCTGTTGTTAGGTGTTGGGCAGGTAGCTTTTTCACTGAACTGCCTGTAATGGCCAAAACATAGGTAAATCTACATTTTTAGGTTGAACCAGCTTCCGATCTTTTACAGTGCTCTTCTATAGGCTCTACACCTGCCTCTGGCTCCTGCCTGCATGCAACTTGATTCTTTTTCTCAAGTATACTCCTTTAAATGGCCTCTAAATGGCTCAGAAAAAAATGGAAAATAATCAGATACAGATTCATGCAGGTGATCCCTGATGTTCTGCACTGCTGCACAGGTCAGTCCAAAGAATCCTTCCTCCCAAGGAGTGGTTGTACTTTCAGTCCAGGTGTGCAGAAACACAGAGAGGGAATGTTGCCAGGACTTTTTTTTTTAATGTGATAGCTATCGCCCTGGAAGAGCTATATAGTCAAGAGTCAGAGTCATACATTCCTCAAGGAGGCAGGAAGGGAGGTAGCTGCTTGTGTGGAGCTCTTTTTGTCCCATTAACACCTTTTTACAGTTGCTCCTTCACCTAACCTTGATCAATGGCACGTTGCCTCTGGCAGACATGAAACGCCCTAGTAAGATATTTTACCGAGGGGTAGGCTGTGGCTGTATGCTCAGGCCACTTATGAAGAACAGAGAGAAAGTTTGAGGCTGAGAAGTGATAAATAGTTAGCGCTCAGCTCGTGTTCAGCACGTCTTGCCTGGCAGAGGGTTATTGGCATACCGGAGAATGTAGGTCTCTCTCTCTGGCAGATTTACTGCATGCCAGAGGCTGAGGTTTGAGGAATGTCCCCCTGCAGTGAGAAAGAGAGGGCCATGGGAGGGTGAGTTAGACAGGCTGAGACATATGTACCTCAAGATAATATACAACCTGACAGTAAGACAAGATTTTATATTCAAATCAAAGGATTTGGAGCTCTCTCTGTCTCATTGGGACATTGTCTGTATGTCCAAATTAAGGCCTCAAATATCAAAACTCAGCAAGAGTCTCACCTATTAGTGATTTAAGTGGAAAATACTGTCATGATTTTAAGCAAATTAGATTCTTTAGTCTTTAAAGAGGGTTCATACAAACATAGTATCTGCACAGCCCGCTCCGCTAATGTTAGCTTACTCAATGTTGCACAATGTTGTCAGTGCTTGATGGCATTGGATAAGCGCATGTTTCCCTACATGACAAGCTGCCCCACATTTTGATCCATCAGGGTTGCATCTGTTTAAACATTGGCCATAACCCACTCTGGGAGGACAGTGAATTAAGCACATTAATCCTTATCCCTCCTGTAAAAAGGACATAAAGTCGGAAAGGATTTAAAGCATTGTGGCTTTAAATCCTGCTTCTCTGGTCTAATTTTATTTCTTACATGCTCATTCTGTAGTCAAAAGAATATTGTCAGGTGACTATTGACCTGATCCTTGCACTTTGTTCTGTTGGCTGCCTGTAATTTTGGTGATCTACGCAGGATTATTAGAGATTAGTCTGCTGTTGCAGTCACCGCAAGTCACTCTGGATAAGATAAAATGCCTTAAAACCTGAAATACAAACAGCAAAATCACAGCAGCTTCCTTTCGAAGGACAGTCAGTGAGATAATATGATTATGATTTGTGATGTTCATTGACAAATTCTTATTGGAACAAACAAGTTAACGTTGCTTCGTGGTGAAGGATGTTTGTGATTAGGAAGGATGTTGGCTTGAACACTGCTCTTCCTGAATCAGCGTGCCTGTGTGTGCTACAGTATGTGCTTTAGATTACATTCCCTGAAACCCTGTCCTTATTCATTAGTTTGCAGTCTGTATTCTGCATTTGCATTCATATCATTTGATGTATTAAGGCAAATTCCCGAAATGACGGGAACTTGCCTGTGCATGAGCCAACCCTCTCAAGACGGATGAAACATGAGCAGTACACATCCTCATAAAAAATAGGCATTTTCCATATATGTCATCTGACTGTTGCCCTGATGGATTTTTTTGTGCGTTACTTCTTCATATATCAAGAGTTGTTTTAATGTCTAGAGCAGACCAGTTGCTCTGGAAACGCAGGGATAAGCCAATATTCTAGTGCTCCTGAAACTATACTTCTATCACACACACTGTGCATTTAAGACTCATTAACATAAGAAATATAAACACAGACATGTAGAAATATGCATGCACACACATTCATATTCAAATACACCTGTGCTTGGCTTTCTGCTGTGTTGCTCAGATGTCTGGGCATGCCTGGTTATGCCTTTTAGCTCTCTTTGATTGTTTGGCATCTTTGACCTTTTCCCCACCTGGAGAAAGCAACACTGTGACGTTATTTCATACCTCACCTAGTCCATTATATCAAACAATATGATTAGAGCGGAATGGCCTTTTACAAGGGAGGGATGTTTAATGAGGGGGAAACAAAGGCTTGACTGTGGGAATCTCCACGAAGGGCTGTTTTAATCAGACGGCCGTTTAAGACACACTAGACACGGTCAAGGTCACTGATGAACGTGAGCTCATTTGACATCTAATTTGTATTCTTAAGCCTCTCCCTTTCACAGAAAGAAACAATACGCTGCTGATGTTAGTTTTAAATTGCAATCAGACCAAATAGATTCAGTTTTTGATAATACAACCATAGATTCCTAAAATGACGGCAGTATTTATGTCCACTGCTGCTGAATAAAGCAGTGTTTCGCAAGACTTGGTTCACGAGATACAAAAACAAACACCTCGCTGTGTGAGAAAATGTGTGTGTATCTGAGTGGGCAAGACTTCACCTGCTTGGCAAGCTGTCTATCTGCAAGCTGCCGGGGGTTTTGTATCATCTTTGTGAAATCATTTTCCAAAGCAACGTAACTGAAAGATAAAGAACTCACAATAAGGAATTTATTGCCATGCCATAATCAGTACACTCCACACACAAACAATAAGCTTCTGTTATAGTTGTTATACTGTGTGAGCGCAGTACACTGTTATCACACTGCATGGCACCAGTTTAAGCCAAGGAGTATTTCAAACCCAGGTACACTGATAGCAGAGAGGTTGCACTGAGTGACAGTGTTAGGTTAAGGTTAGGCAGTCTGAGCTGCACTGGGTTTGAACTCGGGAAGAAAATGATGTGATGTGGCCCCCTGGTTCACGCTGCTGAATGACCAAGCAACTCTTCAACATAATCCACCATCACAGAGCCACAGACTGAGACGAAAAGTTTGATACACTGTATTGTCATTTATTAGCCTAATATATTTGCCACAGGAATCTTCTGGTTTTCTATGAAGCCCAAAACAACTTAAAGTGGGGTCGGAGGACCATGAAAGATCTTAAAGATGGTTCAAAGAGGCCCTGGGTAAAAAATAGTTTAGTTTATGTTTTATTTGCTCATTTCCAAGAGGGTCATGTCAGATTTTGGGCTGCTTATTATTGAAAAACCTTAAATTCCATACTTTTGTTTCTCAACTCGACCACATAAAAGTTGCATAACTTTCATTGCGGTATTTGTACATTTATTACCATATGCAGAAGTCAGTTTGCAGTTCTTAGATTTTATTTACAGGCATTAAGGTGAATACAAAGAACAAAAACAATCTTTATAACAACACAGTGGGGATTATGTCCATGCCACTGGAAAATACATTTATAGTAATATTATCAGTATTTTTCACCCCTTTTGCTTACTTAAAGACTCCTGTAACATTGCTGCAGGTGTTACTCATTGAGTTTATGATACTTCTGGTACTTAATTCATGCATAACTACTTTTTAATACTGCATTAGGGACTTAAACTGTGATACACAATGGGAAGCTAAAAGTAAGTGTGCTGTTAATGGTATTTTATATCCCCAATGGTATTACTATAATATTGCTGTGGAGGCTCGTGTATCAGTAGTGTACACTGTCCTTCTGCTTTTCAATTTAAAAATATATTGTGTGTGCAGAGAGAGAGAGAGAGAGAGAGAGAGAGAGAGAGAGAGATGTATATTAAGATATACGGACTATCCACTCGACCTCAGCTTGGATTCATTCCTCCCCACCGGCCAGACTTGCGTATGTTATGTTGGGGAGAGAGGCGGGACCTCGCGGCCGGGAAGGGCGTTCTCTTTGCGGTCAGACCGGGCAGAGTCATCCCGAAAGGGGTGGGTCCTCCAGCAGCAGAAAAGGAAAACCCACATTTTTTCATTGTTAAGGACGCGGTGGAATGTGATGGTTTGATCTCAAACGAGGCAGGGAGGGGAATATCCGAGAGGAAAAGGACCGACGAAAGTGATTTAGGGAAAAAAAAGAGGGGAAACCAAAACGCATCCCCTCCTCTCTCCACCCCCAACTCGTCTCTCCAACTCTCTCCGCTTGTATGTGAGGATATGTGGATGAACTTGTCCTCGCCGTGTCGGCAGCAGCGAGTCCTACCGTCCGCATGAGCTCGAGCCGTGTGAAGTTGTGGATTTACCGTCGCGTTTTCGTGACCCGGCGGTGGAGCAGCTGAGGTAAAGTTTGAGTCTTTGTGTTTCACTGTGTTTCAGGGGGTTGGATAGGGAACATGGGAACAGGGATTTTTTTGGGGGGGTTGGTAGTGGTTTCAGACAGCGGCTTCCTGAGTTGGACTCAGTCAGTCGGGACTGCAGAAGTCTGAACTGCGGCAAGTTTTTCAACCCTCCTCCTCCTCCTACTTGTTCTTCTCCTCCTCCTCCTCCTCCTCTTCCTCCTGAGCTCGTTCTGTAGCCAAAATGAAGCATCCAGGAAAACCTCAGGTGGTTAAACTGTAGCGTCGCACAGACCATTTGGAACTTATTGTCTTCACACGTCGCAGGTTTTTACAATGTGTAGCGTATTTGGCGGCATACTCGTTACATGTTCGCGCTTCGCTTACGTCTACGCACTCGATAGCGTCAAGCGCTGTTCATAGAAGCTACTGCATAACAAGAACATGATAAAAAGCATAATAAACATCAATCACATCAGTAAATAAAAAGAGTTGCCTGCTTGTACATGCTTCTGACATCCATGCAGTCTATGTGTGGCCACTGGTCAGGTTTTATCTTGTGCGCAGTTTCAACATGTAACTTGTAATCAAAGTGTAATTCCCCTGTTTGTTAAGTGGGAATTTAAGGGTATTTCTTTTGTCCATGAAAGCAAAATGTTTCACTTTCCTTTGATGGCATTCAGTATCAGCCACATGAGATAGCATATCAAGACTTCCAGAGACACTTAGGCCCTCTTTTCCTTCAGGATTTAGGGAAGCATCAACAGTGTTAACCCATACACATATTTTGTACACTCTGGACTCTAAAGTTTAGAGTATGTTTACAGAAAGGAGATACTGTGTGATATGTGGTAGATAAGACATGTGGTGGCACAGGGTACAGTATATAATCTGGCCTAAATAATATTTTGGGGTTGGCTTGATCACACTAACGGTGTTATAAAATCACAACCGAGCACATTAGGAAGGGGAATTTAACATCACCTGTATTTATATACTAATATTCATCTGTTGAATGACCGTATTGTTAATTAACAACATTGACATAATGAACCTGTAATTATAACACATACTGCACACTTAAGTTAATGGTTAATAGCTTTAGTAATTTATCAAGGAGAAATTACAAATATTCTCCAGTTCCAGCTTCTCAAATGTGAAGATTTGTTGCCTTTTATATTATATGAATATATTATGTGAATATATGACTAATATAAATATTAAAACAAGTAATTTGAAGATGTCACCTGCAGCTTTGGTAGCTGTAATAGGCATTTTTCACAGTTTTCTAGCATTTTATAGACAATTAATTGAACTCGACGCATTAAACAACAACTAAAATGATCCGAAGTTGTGGCCCTACTCGAATGATTTGTTAAATCAACACCCAGTGTAGCAAGACGTGTTTGTTCTGTTTGAGTGTGTGTGTGTGTGTGTGTTTGTTTTAATCCACATGAGGTGGAATGTGTTGCATAGGCCACACATACATGTATGAAACTAAGGTGGCAGATCTCATAGTCTGAACAGTATGTGCCCTGTGCTGCCTCACCCAAACACTAATAGAGGAGTGTGTGTGTGTGTCTGTGTGATTCCATGTGTCAACAGCAGAAAAAGGTAGTTGTAGTGGTGGAATACTAATCTGCCAGGTGGGGCTCGTAAAGAGCAGCACAGGGAGGGAAGGAGATGGAGGGGACCTGCCTTGACCTGTTTCAGACATGAAGGAGACAAAAAAAAAATCACTGATGACTTTCCAGTAAGGCTCGCCCTCCCAGCCAGCTGTAGATTATACCAGCTGAGCTACCAGCTTGTGCTGAGAACCCACTTTTCCTCCTGGACTCTGCAACAGGCACTTGCATGGCAGCTTGTCATGGTGGTAGATGTGCAAAAAGGGTTTCCTACGGTATTTTCGGTGGGGGGGGGGGTTATGACACCGCCTGTGGAGGGAATGTCTGCAGTTTATGCTGTCAGTTTGGAAATGTTGGGAAAAATGCAAAGGGAAAATTAAATGAGAGTACCAGCAAAGTAAAGAGTGAGGTGTCTAAAATTTCCCTGATGACTGCTACTCGATCCATGCATTTACAGTCTTGGGAAATTACGCTCCAAGTGAGATTTGGTTGCATTGGCTCTCACGGGGGAATAATTCCCAGTGGATGACCCCCTCTGACTTTCATCCCAGTAAGTGAACATGATTGCTGAGTGCAATGATAGTTGTTAATGTTGACACAGTAGGAGTGCCACTGCCACCGCCACTTGTTTCGTGACCTTTTAAAGAGATCTTGATGCCAACAAGTGAAAGTTACACAAAGACAGAGTTTGCACCATGTTCTGTCCAGGAGTTGTCGCCTGCCATGCAAAGTAATAATCATACCCCTCTCTCTTTTATGACCTGGGCTATACCACGCATGATTGGTTTTCCACTCCGCAGAACGCCGCGACCGCCCTATGAAACTGCCTGCACTACTTTGGGTGAAACCAAAAACTAATCATTATGGGTGTCCAATAAGGGTAATTATCAGACTAAGCACTGGACCTGGGGATTACGGAGTGGCTAAATGACTGCTCTGGGGATTAAATTAAAATATTGAGGTTTTCTGCCTGGGAGAATCAAACCGCTGGGAATGTCAAACCCAGCCTGTCGATGGTAGTATTACTGCCACTCCGCACATCAAGGTTTAAGCACAGAGCCCCTGCTGTTAGTGTAGGACCATCACATCGTTGAGGAATTCTAGCACATGGACATTGACGTCATGTGTTGCAAGTGGAGGCAAATAAGAATAGGATATTGTTATTGCTTAGTTGGATGGAAAAGGCGTGTTGAGAAAGTAGTTTTATAATGCAACATCACTCACAGTAAATTCCTTTTGTGCTGACACTGGTAACAAACCATCTAATAATGAACAGCTAACAGCTATTTTCATTATCGATTCATCTGACAGTGTTTGATTAATCAGTTAAAGGGCCAGTGTGTAGGGTTCAGTGGCATCTAGTGGTGAAGTTGCAGATTGCAGTCATTTGAATACAGCTCAGCCTTCCAAGCGTGTAGGAGAAACACCATGGGCATGAAACTCGTGAGGAACGGTGTGGTTTGTCCATTCTGGGCTACTGTAAAAAACATGGCGGACTCCATAGAAGATGACCTGCTCCCTCTGTGGATAAAAACGTTATTTTAAGGTGATTATACACTAATGCAAACATACTTATGAATATTGTATTCCATTTCTACCAATAGATCCTCCTAAATGTTACCCACTGAACCTTTAGTCGTTTTTTTCGTCGTTTTAAATGACCAACAGCGCAAACCATGAAGATATTCAATTCACTGTCAAATATGACAAAGCAAAACCTCAAATCTTCACTTGAGACGCTGAAACCTGTGAGTGTTATTCGTTTTTCAATTATTAAACTAGTTGCTGTTTAATTAATCTTCAATCCACTAACGAGTTGTTAACACAATGAAGACAACTTAGTCAGTGTATCTAGTTGGTTCTCAAATAAATAAATAGTCAAAGAAAAGTTAGCACCCCCGTGAGCGCACGTGTGTCCCTTTTGTAGCGTAATACATCCTAATAAGCTGTAATTGATAGCTCAGCTAGAATTTGGGCCGGATGGTGTTGGTGTTGGTTATTATTAGTGGTAGACTCGGGCCTCCTTATAATAGCACGAATGAATCATGGTCTCTTAGAGGCTCGTATTAAAATCCCACACACAGCCTGTGAGTGTATATCCTTTTGTGAATGTGTGTGTGTATGCGTGTGTGTGTTTTGTGATAATGCAATAATAGGGCTCAGTATCCGGGACAGAGGCTGCTGTTGACAATACGCAGGCCAGCTGGAGTTGCTGTCTGTCTATTAGCAGACTTGCAGGAGGATGGCTTAATGCCACCGACGCCTGAATGAGACTGTGTATTTACGTACTGTATCTCCGGAGTGTGTGTGTCTCCTGGCAGTAGGAAGAGCAGAAATGGTTAATCAGTCAATCAGCAGAAAACAGAAAACTATTGTGAATCATCTTTTTCTTCCAGCTTCTCGGTTGTAAGGACTTTATACTTTTTTTTTTATACTTTTCTTTCTCTATCTTATGATTGTAAACTAAACTTCCTCGGCTTTTTGACTTTTTTGCAAAAGCAATCATTTTGAAGTCACCTTGCACTCTGGGAAATCATGATGAGGATTTTTCACTACTATGGCTTTATTTGCAGCTAGTTTTGATTTAAGAGCATTTCTCTGTTTTATAGCAATTTGAGTTAAATTATTTAGGTTTTTGTTTTTTACACTAAACTGTATCTCCATAATGAATATTGTCATTAGTTGCAGCACTGTGTGTATGTGTCCGATGCGTACAACCACCAGATTCTTAATTCCCAGACCTTTTCTTACCCTAAACCTATTATTTTCCCATCACCTCCTTTTCGTTTTGTCTCTCTCCTCTACTGTACGCATTAATATTCCCCTCTTCCTCCTTTTCTCCCACTCCTTTTCTCTCTCTTCCTGCCTGCCCTCCCTGCCAGCTTTCTTTATCAGTGGTGGGCCAGTAACAGGGCAGGGCTCTGTGATTTCAGCTGGAGTTCAAACTACTTGAACTTTGTGTGCATTCGTGGGTTCATTGTGTGTGTGTGTGTGTGTGTGTGTGTGTGTGCGCATGCATGTCTGCCCGCCAAATTAACCCAGGCACACTAATGTTATTACCACCCAATATACCAGTTCTTAGTTCCACTAACTAAACCACTATCATGGCTCATCAAGGAGGTCACACAGGCAAATGACGAACACAAGCTGTTTGTTTTGTTCACCATTAAATACAGGAACTCCCCAAAAAAAAAATGGTGGTATAGCGATGAGACCATGTTGATTATTACACTGTACACGAAACATGTTCAGTTTTTGGGCTCATTTGGAGCGCGTTCCATATATATTTAAACATCAGATAGGAGTTAACAAATTATTACACTCGAGTGGGGGTTCATATTACAACAGTATCATTAATCAGATTTAATCCAATCTCCCA